GGGAAAACCGCCACATTTAAATTTATGTTGATGTTGCACATCCAAATCGGGCGTTACTTTCTGTGGCGACTGTACATTACGAACGCAACACACATATAAGTCGATGTTGATATCGATATCTGATTCATTGTTCTTCAAATATAGCGTTAACACATCGATTTAAAACACTTAATTAAAAGATATGGAATCCATCCCTCAGACGTGAAAAGTATCACATGGTTCGAGCGCTCTTCATTGTGCTATTATATACTGCGTCGTTCACGTTACCTGACCTGGGTCAGGTAGGAAATAGCCTGATCCAATGCTTGCTTATAAAGAACGAGAAAATAATCTTTTTTTTGGTTAGTAACTTATGCAATTGAATAACTTAACACTTCTTCTGTGTCATTGTGTTCACGTATTCCCAATGATATCCGCCAGCACGAGCTTGATTTACGAACCTTCCCGCTTTGAATCTCAGTGACACGTTGTGCTTCAGCTAAGGATGGAAATTCATCTGCTTGACAGCATGTTAAAAAATCCAACCATCCCAAAGCCTGAGACGCACTGCATGTTGTACGTTGTCTTTCGGTGTACACCATTCGAGATTAGATACTTAGTTGTTGGTAGAATCATCATCAATATGGTTCACAAATTCTTTGCTTTCTTCTTTGGGTAAAATGCTAATGCCACTAAGCGCCAATTCGGGAATATCCTGTGTTTAATGACCATTGGATGATCAAGCCATTGGTTAACTGAACCTTCCCCTAAGGATGAAACTCTGAATTTTTGTGAATTAAATTCTATTTCTCTCCACTCTTCACTGGGATCGTGTTGTACATAGTCTTCATAATACATCCAACACCACCAACCACCAACAGTATTTCGTTTTATATTACAACCTGCCGAAATACTGAATCTTAAGTGCATCACCTGCGAGTCTCAAATCCGAACAACATTCCCGTTCAATGTTTTCTGCACGATTCGCCTAGAACTACCATGGCCAGTATTCGGTAATACTTTACATACATTTAGCGTTCTCTAGGAATGGATTAGGGTGAAGGCTCGCGCGACTAAAATATGGCACTGGCCTGGTTAATGTACGAATACTATTAATGTTTAATCCATCCGTACATAACCACTTTTGCAAACATTTGGTCTTAAACTAATACCTTTATTGTTTTTTATGTGTCCGAAATAGATACTAGTAAGTCCGAGCAACCAAACTTCCATTATGACCTCTGTTATTTAAAGTGAACCCATTTTTTTAAATTTAGCGAGATTAGTATGGAAAATGGTTCAAAAGCTAGATATTTGTACTGTGTCAGTAACTTTCCATAAGTTGCCATAAGAATGTATTGTTATTTATAAATTATAAAAACCGGGAACGAGTCGATATAATACTAATACATGTTCATATACATGTACGTACATGTTTGATCAACACTGTACAACATATAAAATACATGTACGTACACAATCAATTTTATTGTATGTTCCAGGAACTCATAAATCGACAATATATTTCATGTTAAAAATTCTATCAGCTTAACTAAGAAGTAAATCCAAACTTTGACCGGTAATATTATCAAGAAAGTCCTTTTCTATAATATTACGGTTAAATTTTAGATTTACTTCTTAGTAAAAGTAGTTGATAGAATTTTTAACATGAAATATATTGTCGATTTAAGAGTTCCTGGACCATATCATGATTTTTTTGTCTCATTCTAGGTAAGCTACTGATAAACGTTTCCCGGTTGACATCAATACTGGCAAAGTCACCGTGAAATTAGTTTCGACAAATTCACCGTTGACATCTCAAGAAACTACATGTAATGATAAACAGAAAACCTTCAGCAATGTTGGATCCCACGAACTGAGGTTATGGAAGGTCAAAATTCCTACCAGCAAAGAAACAAGAAGTAACAATAAGTCTCATACTAAAATTGAAATTAAACAACAACTCAGCGGTGAGGAGTTGATCCCAGATGATGAGGTTTATAAAATATTTCCAGCTGAACCTCCAGAGGAGCACATCACATCTTTGTTCAGTTACCTGGTAAGGTACTATTGTTAGTCAGCCTACTCAGTTGAACATCAGTTCGAAAAGTTCGGAGACATTTGGTATACTTTTTGTTATGCTAACTAACTTGTATTTTTTTCTTTGGTCCTGTCATCAATTTCCTATTCGGTGACCTTTCAATCCGAACCTACACTGCTTTTTCGCTGTTATTTTGTTCCTCTCATTCCTGACTTACAGAAATAGAGCCTCCTTCGAAGAGGGCCTGCACAGAGAAAGATGGTAAGTATTCGTATTGTTCTCCATTATTCAGCAGGCTTCGATGCTTATTCTTGCAATGTAATTCTAATCGGATTGATTCTTTCTTCTAGTGTCATTGTGGCAATCTTCGCCAAAGAACAAAAGATCATTAGGAGTATGTGCACTGTTTCCTTCATTTTATTTCCTCTATCCTTTCCAAGGAACTTTCATAGCAGAAACTAATCCTTTTTCGATATTATTATAGAGTGAACCGCCACTCTTATTGGCTTTGATAACTTTACTGAAATTTTGAATCGAGATTTAACTATACTCGACAAATCGCTCCTCATCACCGACTTTCTTGAATGCACTTGTTTCCTCCGTTGTTCGACCGAGACGGTTCGGCAAACTGTTCCTATCCATTCCGACAATGTGGACTACTGACGTGAAATATTCAAAGACACCAAGATTATGGAGGAGAGATCGGACCAATTTAATAATCACTTTTGCAAGTATCCGGTCATCTATCTATCTCTCAAGATATGTTGGTGTTTGCGTTTAAACTGTCACAGTCTGCTGGTCTGTTTCTTACATTCTTTTGTTAGAGCTACAATGGTTGTGATACTTGGTCGAAGATGCAGATCAAACTATTTGGGATGTTGACAGCATTGTACGATAAACTTAACCCATATGAGATGACACGTTCTAAGATAAGAGGTGTAAACGCATGGACGATGCTCTTGTTGACCTCTCCAAGTACTTGAAAAACTATCACAGAAGCAAGTGTATCGTCTTGATTGATGAATATGACCACCCTCTTGGTATTACAAAGAAGCCTGTGGCTTCTTTGCTTCTATGTTTGGAGCACTTCTCAAGGGAAGCTGTCTCTGTAGGATCAATATAAGTGATGACCCTGACAAATGTATTGACCTTTAATTGTGCAAGTGTTCCCAATTCATGAAAAAAAAGTATACTTTCATCCTTCAACATCACAATCTGGCGAACCAGCTGGAGGAAGCCAAACAATGGTTTGATGGCTACAAGGCTGGAAATGGTATTCATCTGTATAATCCTTGGTCGATCAATTCTTTTATTTCTGAGAGGAATTTTGAGGCATATTGAATTGATACAGGTAAGCAATGCGTTGTGTGACTTCTAGTAAATTACTTGATAATATTGTTATAAATAGAATTTTTGAAACAATCAAAAATAAATATTAGAATTGCATTACGTGGATAGCACTATTGTCATACACATTTCTTATATCTATTCGCAAGCAATAATAAAGTAATCTCGACGTGTGACTAGAAAATAAACTCGCACAATCTATTAAATATCGTATGTTTTGAGTTTGCATGATGGCGGGATAAATTTTTCTCACCATGTGATTTTCGTCGGAATAGTAACACTTAAGCTATTACATGTGGTTACTATATTTGGTAAATAATGTATATGTATACCATCAAATCTCTGCTTGAGATGGACCAAGGCCTTTTGGTGATCTTATGTCATGGAAGTGATCACTCCAAGACCTTTCCACAATCACTTTGTGTTTTAGTAATGCAATAAGATATTTAATTAATATTGTTATCAGACTTAATATAATTCATTTGTGTATCATGACTTTCACCCTGAAAAAATATATTATTTGATCATTATCCTCAAATTACTGATTTTGGACTTACTATAAAGACACGGGTGTTGTGTTGAAGGAAAGTGTGGATGTTGAGAAGTTCCTGGTTACGAAAAAAGTGAGAACCGTGAACTGAACTTAGTTTCTCCCATGCAGTCTTGCGTTCATTTTTTATTACTAGTTTTTAGCTTTCATGTTGTTCCAAATTATAAAGTTTTCATTTGTCAACCCACTTCTCATTTTCACTATGTGAATATAGTGTGGGATATATGCGTGTCTCAAAAATATAAGCTGAATAATGTTCAGAAGTTTATTTCACTTTTTCCTCACATGCTGTTCGGAAAAAGATGGTATATTAAGCATTCTGTTTTTCTAGCTTTGAAGGTCTAATAGCAGAAAAACTTTCAGAATAAGGATTAAATAAGAGTAAAAAAAATTGGAACCTAGCAAAAAATATTTTCTCGCTAAGGAACTGGAAAAATATTCGCATCGAAAAAAAAATACAAGCTAGTATCTCAAACATGTCACTGCTGTTTGTTTGCTTAATAACATATACATGTACATGTATTTATATTTATTACGTACATATTCTATGAGTATATTTTTCAACCAATCATTTTTCTTGTTTTTATCCCACAATTCATGGATCAACAATTTTGCATTGCTTTTTTTTCCTATATAATTCAAAAATCGATTATGCTACTTGGGTAACAGTACTGTAGTGGGTGTGCAATGCTGTTACATAGATAGGAGCGTGTTCAGCGATCAG